ATCAAACAAATCTCATTTATTTGCAGCTAACACATGCATAAAGAGGGCAAGGCATTGTAATTACACTTGTGTAATGCAAACTGAATTCATTTGCAGCTTTGTCTGCACAAATGCAGTATATTCTTACTTTCAGTATTCAGGAACGCTCAGCCCTGTGCCCTGCTGAGACATTAAACAGCTTTAGGACTGATATTTTTATTTTAGAGATGTTTTTTGGTTCCAAACACCAGCCCAAGTGGCTGCACTGTGTTTTATTTATTTAGCTGTGTTCCCTACAAACAGTTCCCCAGCCTGGCCTGTTGTTTGGTTCTGCCCCTCCGACTGACTCTGTGGCTAATCAGGATTTCCAAATGCTGGGTTGTTCGCACACGAAGCTTAGAGGTGAGAAATTCTGTCATCACCCAGGGATTAAGCAGAGATTTATTCAGGTAACTCAGAAAAAAATTCCTCTATGAGGTTTAAAACAGGCCGTGCATCTCATTTTCAAACTTGCCCTGCACAACTAAACACCCTCCCTGGGTGGGAGGGCACTGCCCTTTGGCCAGGGGGCTTTTTTATGGTGTGTACCTATTTTTTTTTATTATTTTAAAATATGCACAGAAATGGTATTAATGATAAATTAAATTATTTTTTTTTAACAAGTTACCTAAAAAATAGCAATTACAGACACCTATTGGAACTATTCTCCAAAGCAACCTGTCTGTTAAATGATGGACTAACAACAGGGAAGTAAGAGCAAGGGGAAAAGTATTCTCTTACTGAAAAATCTGAGGTTTCCACCAGTACCTCTGGGTGCAGAATGTGAGCACAGCCCCAGTTGGTGACACAGTGAGTTTATTGAGTGAGCAGCAGAATCACCTGGGCACATATTCACCATAAAAGGGTGATTTTTGGCTTCCAAAAAAATTGAGTGGGGAAAAAAAAATCCTAAGCACTCCCCTGTCCATACTGTCCATATTGCATCCCATCCAGTCTGTCCTTGCTTGGGTGAATTCCCTAATTCTGGAGCCTCAGTGCAAGAGGTCAGTGAGCACTTTAATTGCATGTGAGAGAAGATCAGCTCCTGGCACAATTTATAACTAAGGTAACTAGTTCAGAAATCCATGGCTCATTTAATTTTAAAAAGAGGGTCTAGTTTAATTATTTATGCTGTATAAATAATGAGATTCCAACAGGCTGAGGAGTCACTGAAACATTATGATATTAAATCTTTGCAAAGAGACAGGAGGTGAAGGGAGAGGTTCTTGTGTGTTAGAAAGTGTGAGGATTAGCAAAATGTGAATTAGTAAGGGTCTGCTGCATTCAATATAGAATTTAGGGTGAACTATTTACTGTTGACATAACTTATTAAAGTTAATTATTAAAGTTACTTATTAAAACTAACTCTATGAGCTGGTAAATAATAGAAAATGCATGTGATGAAAGAAATGCTAATTTTTTTCCTAAGAATGCTATTTGAAGTTATTTAACAAATTCCATTTGCTATTATCTATTAATAAACAGTAGGAAATACTCAATATCCCGTGTTCAAACCTTGAACCATTTGAAGCAGATGGATGATATTTTGGGTTTCATCATTATTTTTTTTTCATCTGTTCAGATTTGTTTGAAATTAAACTCCTGCAAGATGAAGGGTGTGGGAGACAAGAAACACTTTTTATCCCGGGATGCTGAGCTGAGAAGTCAGCACGTGGTTGACTGTGTTGATGGCACTAAAATAAACCAGGGAGAGCTCTCCTAAAATAATGTGTGGTCTATTAATCTAAAGATTAGGCTGGAGTGTGACAGCCAGGGGGAAAAGCAGGAATCTATTCCCAGTGACAATGAAAGCCCTCCATGCAGTGGGGATGGAAAGGTGCATTATGCTCTGTAGGGAAAATCACCACCAAAGTCCTTCACAATTCCCAAGGAGCAATAAACCTCATGGGATGTGACACAGAGAGTGGAAAAACGTGGGGGAAACAAGAATTGGCTGCTTTGTCTCCCAAAAGGCTCATAAATCTGACACCAGAGGCAACCAACCAGTTGTTATTCCTAAATCTTGGACCCCTACAGCAGAATTTCCAAGTCCACATTTGTCCCTGTTTTCATAGGTCCTGTTCTGTGTTTTGTTACCTTGATCCTTTATTAATTCCATTTAATTACAGGGTAATCAGTGCTGTAGTTTATGTTGCTGTCACTTGTTTTGCTTCTGTAGGAATTTCCATCAGGAATCTCAGCCCCTCCACACGTCAGCTCTCCCCTATTTTTCATTTTGACATAGTTTATAGCAAGTGTCATCATGGGATTGCATTTAAGCTGCTGCTGACAGCATGTCATTGTTCAATTAAGTTTTTTGACACCTCTTCTAATTGTATATCTCAGCACTTCATATTCCTATGAATATGCTGTTTCTCACCTTCCCCAGTTGCTTAAAAGGCAGGAAAATCTCTCCTTTCCTCCAAATGTGAAGATTGTGTTGAATTTATTTTGTAAGTGTGGCATTAGAATTGCACTCAAAAACCCTATAGGTTGATGAAAACTTTCCTCAGGAATCTGAGGGATGGGGTTATTCACCTACTGCTGGAAAATTGCAGAAATTTCTGGAAATTTCCGCACAAAATGCTGTTTTAGGCAAATTTCTATGGATAAAGGCACATTTCAAACAGTGTTATGATGAAGTCCTTGATCATTCTGCTGAAGTACTTACAGACCATCCCAATTTCAAGGTTGATTTTCTTTTTCCCACAAAAAAGAGACCTATTTCTAAATATTGTTAAATGAATAAAAAAGTGAAAAAAAAATTTCAGAATCCCAAATCTGACTGAATTATCTTGCTGAACAGAGGTAGCTGACCTTGTACAACATAAATACAAAGGAATTTTTTTAAATTTTTTTTTGCTAAAAGTGTGTTTTGTTTTTTTTATGTTCATTTGTGGCCTTGCAGTTGGGATTTTTTTTTTTTTTTCATTTCTTTAACAACAAGCTTAGATTTCCACAGGGTGTCTCTTGGAATGCACCAGAACAAAACATTTCAGAGTCCTAGAGAAGGAAATCTTTTACTACTGAACCTTCATGGAATGACTAACTTTGAATTACAGTGACTGTGAATCAGCTGGGAAACGAGGTAAACGTTTTTAATGATATAAAGTTAATTTCTGGATGTCCTTGAAGGCTCTTTGGCTTTAAAACATTTCTTCTAGACTGGTCACACAGGACTCAAGTTCTATTTTGGGGAGAAAGATGAAAATTGCTGATCTTCTCTTTTAATTTTTTGACAAGATGAACACAAGAACTGAAACAGGTTGTGCTTCCTTGAATAAAAGAACTAAAACTAGCTGGATCTAAGTAATGTAATACTCTTATAATTATAAATGTGCATTTTTTTACAGCCAGCACAGAAAAAGTTTTTCAAGCAAATGGAAAAATTCTATTTGTTTGGTTGTTTGTTTGTTTGTTTGTTTTTTTTCCATAAACCAGAACTTAATTTATTACTGAAAACAACATGTGTGGGTAGGAGGCCTCACTGGGGAGCAGGTTTTGAATCTTGGATCTCTGTTTAGGACAATAAGCAGAAACATCATGAATTCCCTTTTTAGAGTTGATCTTTAACATTCAACAATTTTATTTTCCTTCCACTTTCACGAGCAAGAGAGACTTTGTGGTGCCTTCCCAGCACTTTACAGCATCAGGCTGATTTTCCAGGCAGTGTGAAAATACATTTTCATGACACACTATTCATTTTATGGGAGAGAAAAACACCTGCTCAGCACCTTTGTGAGAAATAGGAATTAATGCTGCAGAGGAGGCTCTAGATAAGTTTAGATAATGTTCAAATTCCAGGCATGAAGTTGTGATGTAAATCAAGAGGTACAGCGAAGCTGATGCCAAACAGATCAGCTCCCATTTATCTGAGGGATCCAAACAAAAACTTCTCTGAGATATTCCATGGAACTGTTGGAATCTCATCCTCACCAACACCCTCAAACTGAAGCTTCATTAAAGCTGGAAAAGACCTTTAGGATCCTCAAGTCCAACCATCCACCACCACCATGTTCACTGATTAACCACACCCTCAGGTGCCACATCCACACATTTTTCAAACACTTTAGGAATGGTGACTCCACACCTTCCCTGGGCAGCCTGTTCAAGGCTTTACAACCCTTTCCATGAAGAAATTTTCCCTAATATCCAACTTAAACCTTCCCTGAGGCCATTTCCTCGTTGTTTAGCGTGCAAAGCAGACACCAAGGATTTAAAGAAATATTTCCTTGCCTGGTAGGATCTTTGATTGAGTGATACAGCAACAAGCATCTCTTGAAGAAATAATTAAATATTAAAAAAAAAAAAAGTTATGGTAGCAAACCAGCAAACTGGTTGAAATGGATGTGCAAACCAACACCTTTTATAGAAGTTAACATTTTGAGTGAATAATTATTTCAATATATTTCTGGAGATTTGGCAGTATTTCTAGTGCCAATGAGGAAGGTAAGAACATGTGATAAACCTTTGCACACCTGCTAGATATTTATTTTCATGCTTTCTCTTATTTTCCTTTAACCATTCTTTTTTCTTCCAACTGCTGCCTCCTCCTTAAAAAAGGTTATTGTATTCAAAACCTTTCCTTGTAGTACATAAATTTTATTTCTTTTAAAAGCGTCTATTCAAATACTCTGAAGTCCATATCACCTCCTTTTTTTTGATTTTCATTAAGCTGAATTATTTCCCATCCAGTACAAATCATTCTATCTTCAGAGCTTTTGTTGTCTCTGACTCACAGATTCTAAGATAAGACTTGAGATACTTCTGGGGTTTATTTTCTTTCACTAAATGCTTTTTTTCCTGTGGTGTTTGAGTTGGCAAAAATCTTCCTGTGTGGTGGAAAGGATCTGACTCATGTTACTGCTTCCTAATAGATAATAATATTGCCTGTGGCCAGGATTTTCCAGACAGGTAAATCACACACCTGGCTCCCATCAGCTTTTATTGGATCCTTCCTGACCTTTGAAGAAGATTGAGCATGCATTAATTTTTATTTTCTTGCTTTACAGTGTGCATTCCTCTTACAAGAAGCACCTCACGAAAGAAGAAGTGAAAAGCAAATATTTATCTAAAGAAAGGTGAGTAAGTAAGGGAGCAACAGGCCACAGAAAAACGGTGTTTCCTCTGAGAGGGAACAGAGCAATAGAAAAGATTAAAACCAGCAACAGCAGAAATTCTCATAACAGGAGAAATTATTACAGGGCAAGATCCAGAAAGAGAAGAAATGTTCAGTTTAATGTAAACTGTGTGGAAAAACCTAATAAAAATACTTCTACAAAACTCTACAGTGTGGGTGAGGAGGATTTCAAGGTGTTCAGTCTCAACAGCAGCATTTATTAGTTGTTAATTGAGGGGTGTTAAAGGCTTTTCATTTCTTGAATTCTCTAAGTCAACATCAGGTATTTTCATGATAGACCAGGTGTAGCTCTACAGTGTTGGGTCAAAGCTGTTGGCTCTGCTCTTTAGAGGTCAGACTGGAGAGTCTGAAAGGACCCTATAAAATAAATTAATTTTATTTTACCAAACGAATTTTATTCAATCATTACAGTGTTATATGTATGTTTAAGAAAAATAGCTTTATTTAAAGAAAATAAAAATTATAACAGAGTGATTTATACCTGCTTTGGCCAGACCTACACAACTGTACCAGGAAACCTAAACAAATTGAGAAACCTTCTGCACTGTCTTCAAGTTTATCATGTTCCTCAAGGCAAGGCAGAGGAAGAAATAAATAAGGTGGCAGTTCGGGGGGGAGAAGTGTCTCTGGAAAAGATGTCATTGTCATTGGGAGAATTAATGAGGAGGGATGACACGCAGGAGAGGAATTAGCAAAACAGCTCTTGACATTTGTTAGGAAGAAAAGAGCTCCCAGCAGCTGGAGACAAAGCAATCCTTCAAGACATGTAGGAACAGCAGAGGAACTGAGGATCCAGTAACTGCCACTGGCAAAGAAGGTGGGGATTTTAAAAAAAAAAATAATAAAAGATTCCATTGCAGTAAAGGAATAAATTTCAAATTTCACCCAGTTGCATTGTGGGGTTTGTTGTTCTTCAAAAAATACGTCTCAGGATAAAAAGAAGGGAAAGCTCCAGTTGTAAACTGGGCCGAGCTGGGTGTGGCTCAAGGGCATCATATGTGGCAAACTGCAACAGCAGCTTTGCAGTACAACTTTGTTTTGAATCTCTGCTGCCTTTTCTAGAGAGAAAATGCTCTTTCTGAGCCTCCCTCTCTCTGAATTTCCATTTGCTTTTGAGGGCTGCAAAGTGATGGAGAGATTTGAGAGACTGATCAGTTTTCCTGAATCAGAGCTCACTCTCCAAGCAGCTGCAACAGATGTTTCTGGATTATACTGAGCAGCCAGAGCATGAAAAAAAATCCTGTGTAGGAACAGAAACAGGAGAAAATGATGGTACTTGACTCCAGGAAAATAAACCCAGAACTTGACAGATTCAGGTGTGAGCTCTGGTAACTCACCGGTCTAAATATTCATAAGAAAAATGAGTATTTGATTACTTTTAAATTGAATCCTTAATCTCTGTGGACCTCTTCTATTCTTTTCCTGACAGAAAAGCGGTTTAGGAAGTACAAAATGACATATTCTTTTAAGCACTTAAAACTGTTTAGAGAAAACATTTTCACTTAGGTACGAGAGGAAAAAAAAGTTTCGAAATAGGTAGCGGTTCAACAGAAAGCAAAATGAGAGAACTTTGGAGACTGCAATTCATTTTCTTCATGGTGGATTCGTTGAGATTTATATGGGAGCTCATAAAAGGCAGAAGTGGCGTTCCAGAATTCCAGCAGCGAGAGCAGCAGCGACTTCTCGGTCTGGGATTTGCTTTAACTGCCTGAAGTCTCACAAAGGAAATTAAGTGCAGTCATCCAGACAGCCTGGTGCACTGGTCACCACTTCTGCATTCCTATTGCAGTTGGATTTACCTCCTGACCGGCTTTTCCTTCGCAGATATAAAAGTTTATGGCTACAAAATTCCTCGGACGAGTTACGTTTGTGAGTCCCGATGGCAGAGATGGAAATTCAAGTCTCCAGCTCCTTTATGCAAACACTTGGATGTGAAATGCCATTACCAAAAGCCTTGCAAATGTGCATTTTGTGAACTATTGTAACACTAGGAGAAATATTTGGCCCTTACTTTACCAACATCTACCAAAATAACAGGCACTACCTCCTCCTGCCTATGGAATTAATGATATTTCCAGAATTTAAGGGACGATCACTTCTAGTTTTACCATCCTGTGTATCCTAGGAAGTCAATATCAGTGCAAACTTTTTCCCATAAATTGCTATTTGGGCTGGATTTTAGGGGAGGGAAGAACAGATTCTAGATTTTGGCATTTCTTTTCCAGGTCCACATTTTCCAGCTGCTCAGTGCAAACCCACAGGTAAAGGATGTATTTTTCTGAAGGCTTTTCTCTGTGGAAAGAATATTAGATACATTGGGAAGTGGAATACATGGGAAAGGGGTGTTTGGAAGCAGAAAATTCCCAGTCACCACTAAAGGTCCAGCCCCATGTGCCATCAGGGCTATGCTGGGAGCAGAAGGGAATCATTCCTGGACAGCACCAGTGGTCCTGGCAGGAGGTTTCTTCCAGCTGCCCCATTTCCCAGGTAAACACATGGAAACCAAATTGACCTCGTAAATATTTGTTTCCCCAATCAGTTAATGACAGAGTATAAAAAAAGCTCGTGAAACTTTAATTTGATGGGACATTATTATGGGCTCTCCAGAAAGCACAGACATAAGTAGTCAGTTGAAATTATGTCCAATACAGATGAATTTTACTTCTCAGGGGGAAAACAAACAACCAATATTCCCCAACAAAAAAAAAACAAAACAAAACAAACAAAACAAACAAAACAAAACAAAACAAAAAACAAAAACAAAAAAAAAATCACAACCAAACAACAAAACCCAGATGTGCAGGATGAGCTGCACATGTTAGACAAGGTTGCTGATTTATGGGAATTGGCACAAAAGTAACAACCTTTGCTTTGATTATATCACCAGAGCACCAATGTGCAAGTAAACTTTAATCCATTACATTTTCAACTTATAAAATTTATTAGACTTGAACTGGGATCTTTATTCATACCAAGCTCTCTTCTGAATTTATGGCAGTTCTACAATCATTACTCAGCCTGAATGGAATCATATATTTCTATGAATTAAAGTGAGAGGCAGCCTCCTAATTAGCATTACAACTGTTAATGAGAGATCACATGAGTTGCAGTGAACAGAAAGACATAATGTTATCAGACATTCAGAGTCAGACATATTTAAAATATACTCTTCCCCTTTTCTGAAATTCCCACTCCCAGAAGTCTCCAGAGTTTAACAAGATCATAAAACTGGAGCAGCATTTCATGGAGTTCCTTTTAGTTAATATCACAGTATTAAATAAGATCTTTCCTGCAAAGGAAAGAAAATGATTGTTCTCTCTCTCCTAAGCTGACTGTGTAAAATGTTCTTCAATAAAATCCAAGAAATTAATATTCAATGATTTACAGTAAATCTCTTGAGCACGGGAGGTTTGCTCTAGACTGGAAAAGCAAACACTTATGGGTACATTATTATGATGGCTTATGCTAATTAAATTGAAGCAGAAATGCTTAATTTATGCTTTACCATCAAGTGCAAAGGGGAAAATTCTTTCTTGGTTCAAGCTTTATCTTGTTAAGAAGATTTACCTCCTTATTTCCTACAATAAAGAGCTATTTTTGAGACTCTACTGAGAAGGCAGAGGCTGCAGAGCTTTTCTACCAGTTGCCATGACACTTTGGATCTCAACCTCCAGTTCGATACAATAGCTGCAATTAGGTAATTAGAACATTATCTCAAAGTACACAGCTATTGTACAAAAGAAGAAACATTCTCACTAAATATGCTGCTAAGTCACCAATAAATGATTTTTTAAAAAAAAATTACATTTTCTAATTATAATGAATAATTTATTTCTCCTGGGGATGCTTGACATTTAAATATTGTACCTCAAAAAAAATAAATACAGGATCCATTCAATATCATCTTAGGACACGTGAAATTTCTCTGACCTTTTAGTTATTTTTCTTCAATCAAATATTGAGAGCGAAAAATATAGTTATTTTTCTTCTATAAAACATTGAGAGAAAAAGAACAACTATAATAATGGGTTATTCTGGTTTAGCTCATTGTTATTTTCAAATTAAAAGGCCTTAATGAAAAATTAATCCATCTTTTATTATTTTTTTTTTACTATCTCAACATCTAGAAGGTTTTTATCTAGATGGAATTGATTGTGCTGGGTGATGTATGATCCCACTTCCCCGAGGTGTTCTGCCCAGGGCAGTGGTGGAATCACCATCCCTGGAATCATTCAAAAACCCTACAGATGTGGTGCTTTGGTGGTGGACCTGGAAGGTCTGGGTTCATGGTTGGACTTATTGATCTTAGAGATCTTCACCAACCTTATTGATTTTATAATTCAAATAAGCAAAGGTCTTGGTCTACACACACACAAATGCCTGGCAGGTACAGACTAATAAATACAAGAAATAAAGAATGAAAATGAGTAGCCTGGTGAGTTGGGGTCTGAGGCCATGAGGAGCCAACTTATCTTCCTATTGGTTTTATAATAATTATGAAAAGAAAAGCTCTGAGGAGAAAAATGAAATATTTGTGCATTTTCTGAAAATTCAGCTCGAGCACAGAAGGAAAAGGCACCAGGAGCATGTGGATGAAATGCAGCTCCTTGGAAATCCATGGGATTTCTGTCACTGATGTCAAGAGAGGCAGATCCAATTTTTGAGTTCCCCACGTAAATTGTTGACTTTAAACTGTTAATGACCTGAAATAAATGTTCAACCACCTAAAAGTATTTTGTCTGGCTGTACCCAAGTGACACCACTGGCACTGAAACCACCTGTGCCACAAAACAGGTACCTCTGTGCTCCAGTCAGGATTCCACCCTGTCCCAGAGACCAGCCCAAACTATCCGTGTGTTCTGGTCCCCAAAACACATTTAAGTTCCCTGCCTGTTTCCTGGAGAGGCTGCACATGCTGCACAAACCTGCTGTGGGCAAAGACTTCCCAACATACATCTCAGGAATGTCGTGGCTGTCGCTGGGAAATATCAAATGCCAAGGTTTTCATCATTTATTACGGAATATTTGACAGGAAGGGACTTTTCGAGGACAGAACTCTAAATTTAAGCATTTGTTTCTGCCTTTTTTGTGTCTCAGATTTGTTCCCATTCCCCACCCCATTTATCAATCCCTTTCACTAATCATTACTGCCTATATTTATCTTCCATAATCACCGACCCTCATTTCTCCACGTCTTGAAGATAAGAAAGTTGCTGTCAGATATTATGCAAACTCTGAACATCCCTGACACGAAAAGATGGAACACCAATCCCTCACAAATGAACAAAACTCTCTTAACTTCAAGAAAATTATGTATTCCCTGATAAGAAAAGTTATCAGCCAGATGCTGAGCTAAGCACATGAACATAAGTCACCTACGACTGAGTTATGGTACTTTTGGCTTCCAGGATGTTTGCCCACAATCCGGAAGCACAGTTCACATTGTTTAGGACTTCTTGATTTTGTTTTTATTTCACATTTACAAACCTCCCAGTTCAAACCTCTCAAGTCCTTTTTTTTCTTTTTTCTTTTCTATTTATTCATTGATATTCAAAGGATGATACTTCTTATAACCCAATTCTTTGGTTTAGTGAGGCAATCAGAAGTTTGCTGACCGGGCACTTTAGATATATCTGGCACAAGCTAAAAACAAACTCAAAGATAAATCCAAAAGCACATAAATCTCAGCTAACACAAAATTCTCAGGCAGAACAAGTGCACCAGTAAATTCCAACTTGAGCCCAAATACATTATTTTGCATTGTGAGCAACCTTGAGGACTAGCAGAGCAAATTATTTCAGACCACAAGATGAAGCATTTTTTAGTAAAATTAGGTCTTTTGGTTTCTTCATTTAAAGAAGGAGAGGAAAAAAAATAATTTTTAGATTTGTTTGGATCTTCAGTGGCGTTGTACTTCATGGCTATGCCATTCAGCTCCTCCTAGAACCAAACCTGATTCAAATTCATCATTTTCTGTTCCTATTTCTTCATTTGACCTTTTCCATTGCTTCCCTCTTCAATAATGCCTGTTCCATGTATTTACAGGATATGTGCCCAAGTGTATCCTACATAATACAACACATGGTATTATTTGAGTGAATCACAGAAGAAAAATCAAACAACTTAATCAAGCAACATAACCATAACCCCCATAATCAATTTGGAGAGGCTGGAAAACTGCCATGGGAGACACTTCCCATCTCAATCTGCAGCACTTTGTCCTCCCAGTTCCTTTCAGCTCCCCACCATGAGAGCCAAAATAATAACAGTCACTAAAGTTTGAACTCCAAGTAGTATTTGGTCTCACGGCTGAAACTCTTTAGAACAA